CCAAATTCTTCTTGTAACAACTCTCAGCGCTACAACCGTGGTGGTCGATCAAACTTCAATTTTTTTGGAAGAAAGATTTCATGCCAAATTTATCGTCAGTTCGAGCATGATGCCATATGTTTCTCATTCTGCTATGGCTACAAGCATACATTCTGCCCAACCTACTTGGATTGTTGACTCCGATGACAGCACTCACATGACCAATTCTTACAGCACTCTTCAAAATCCAGAGCCATACTCCGGACCTGAGCAAGTTTACATTGGAGATGGCAAAGGTTTGCCTATTCTCCACTCTGGTTCATCTACATTACATATTCCTCATCATAATTTTGAACTTAGTAATATGTTACATGTTCCTGATTTGGAACAAAATCTATCTTTATCTATTTCACTTTGATGTGGAGGATATTTCTTCAGGGAATATGCTCTTTAAAGGTCCTGTGAGAGATGTCTTATATCCATTTCAACCATAGCCTTCCAGTTCTGTGATATGCAATCACAATGCTTTTGTTGCTTTTGTTCATACTTCCAGAGATATATGGCATCAAAGACTTAGTCATCATTCTTTGAAGATACTAAATAAGCTGGCTACTAAGTCTTGTATTTCTATTTCTAGTGGTTCAAATAAGTCTTTCTATAATGGTTGTGCTTTAAGCAAACGTTCCAAATTGTCACTAGCTTCTGTACCTTGTCATACAAGTAAGCCTTTAGAGCTGCTTCACACAGATATTTGGGGGCCAGCATCTGTCACTTCTGTGAATCATTTCAGATACTATGTCATCTTTGTAGATGATTTTACAAAATATTGTTGGTTCTATACTTTGCAATATAAATCAGATGTGTTTCTTACTTTTGTTAAATTTAAAAATCTTGTTGAGGACTTGTTGTATACCAAAATTGTTGCTCTTATATCAGATTTTAGTGGGACATATCTCAGCACTCAATTCTCCAATTTCCTTGTTGAGAATGGTATCAGTCATCAATTAAGTTGTCATCACTCTTCAATAGAATGGTTGTGCATAGTGCAAGCACAAACACATAGTTGAGATTGCCAGAACATTTTTAACAGTTTCCAAGGTTCCTCACACTTATTGGGATTATGCTTTTCCACTGTTGTGTTTCTTATTAACAGATTGTCTCCATGGGAACGTCTATTCCACATATCACCTACATATGCTACCTTGAAGGTTTTTGGGTTTAGTTGTTTTCCATGGCTACAACCTTACTTTAAGTCTAAGTAGGATCCCAAAAGCAATCTATGTGTGTTCCTCAGTTACAGTCTCAATCATAAAGGCTACAAATGTCTGGATCTCACTACAAATAAGTTATACATCTTAAGAAATATGGTCTTTGATGAAGGCAGTTTTCCCTTTCATAACCTTGCAATTTCACAGTGTTCTCATTCCTCAGAAGCATCTTCATCTCCAAATACCATTCATACTCAACTCACATTCACTCAACCATAGATCAATCTTCTCACTCTACCTCCACAATCCTCGCCACCTCATATTATGCCAAGTAGCTCTTCTCAAACAACCTCTATATCATCTTCAGTACCTCAATCTCACTCAATCCCTACCAATACTCATCCTATGCAAATCAAGTCCAAATCTGGTAGTTACAAACCAAAATCCTTTTCTGCAACAAAACATCATCTCCCTTCTCATCTTTCTCATGAATTTGTTCCCACTACCTATCTCTATGCTTCAAAATATCCACATTAGGTTAAGGCAATGCAAGAGGAGTTTCATGCCTTGCAACAGACTGGTACTTGGTCCTTAGTACCCAAAACTGCTCATCAAAACATTATGGAATGCAAATGAGTTTTCAGGAAAAGAAAACCTGATGGTACCATAAATAGGTACAAAGCTCGCTTAGTTGCCAAAGGTTTTCATCAACAAGCAGGACTGGATTATACTGAGACCTTTAGTCCAATGGCTAAACCAGTGACCATTCGATTACTACTCACTATTGCTGCTCAGTTTGATTGGAGTCTAAGTCAACTAGATGTAAGCAATGCATTTTTTAATGCGACCTTGTCTGAATATGTGTTTATGCTACAACCACCTGGCTTTGAAGATGCCATTCATCCTACTCATGTTTGCCAGTTACATAAATCCTTATTTTCTAGGAATTGAAGTTAAAGTGATCTTCCAAAGGTATCTTCATTTCACAAACCAAGTATATCTTGGACCTGTTAAAGAAGGCTAACATGGCTGGAGCAAAACCATCTGCTACCTCTCTCAGTACATAAAAGCTGGATCATTCCTCTTCATTGCTTGACAATCCTACAGAATATCGATCTTTGGTTGGTGCATTACAATACCTTAGTTGGACTCGGCCAGATTTATCTTTTGCAATCAACCTTGTTTGTCAATTCATGCACAATCCAAGGCAATCTCATTTTCAAGCTGTCAAAAGAATCCTTCGATATCTCAAGGGTTCTATTGATATTGGTCTTTAGCTTACAAAATCTACTTCTGCTCCATCTCTCAAAGCCTTCTCTGATGTTGACACTTGATCGAAGATCAACTGGTGGATATTGCATCTTTATGGGTTCCTCTATCATTAGTTGGAGTGCTAAGAAGCAACCAATAGTAGCTTGTTCTTCAACAGAGGCCGAGTATCGATCTCTAGCCAATATTGCAGTTGAAATTACATGGATATGTCAGTTACTTGTTGATATTGGTTTCCTCTTCCTTCCTTAACTCTGGTGTGACAATCAATCAGCCATCTCTCTTGCCAGAATCTTTTGTTTCATGCTAGAACAAAGCATGTTGAGATCGATTATCACTACATTTGAGAAAAAGTGTTATCAAAGGCTATTTCAGTTCATTTTGTATGCACTCAAGATCAGATTGCAAATATCTGCACTAAGTCACTTTCCAAGGACCGGTTTCAGCTCTTACGATCCAAATTGTCCCTTCGAACTCCTCAGTTTAGTGTGAGGGGGGATGTTAAGGATAGTATTGTTAAAGATTCCATTGGTGATTAAACTTAGAGTTTGTTAGTTTGTTGTAATTGTTGTATTAGACGGGCAAATTAGTTGAGATTGTTACAATAGGTGGCAAGTTAGTTAAAAGGTTAGAGTTATGTGAGAGTATGGAAGGTTGTGTGTGTGTGTGTGTGTGTGTGTGTATAACAATATTGTAATATTATTACTCAATCAATGAACTTCATTTTCTCTAACACTAGATTCCATGTAGCGGGTCTGATATAAAGCAAAGAAATCTCTTAGGGTGTTCAAAATGCGTGCCCGTACTTCAGGTGTCATTCATCATAGAAGGGAACAGAGTAAAAATTATGTTTCTTCCTTCACTGGATAACTGAGAAGAGCAATTATGTGTTTGCATAGTTTTAACCGGCTGAAAATAACCGGTTTAGGCTAACCTAGTAAACTTGTAACGAATCGAGTTGTTAGCAAGTTCTTTGATGAGAATTTATTAATGAATTAGGTTGTTAGCGGACCACACTTTATGGATTTATTAAAATAAGAGTAATGGTATGAAGATTAAATTTGTAAACTAAATGACCTATAAATTGATGATTGGATTATTACATAAGCGTTGATGTGTTCATTTTTATTGATGACACAATACTTGGTTTGCAAATTTTATATATAACTTTAATTTCTTTAATATTACCTTTTAAATAACATTATTGCTAATCATTTTAATACTTAATCCCTCCCCACTCTTAAATAATATTATTTGTTAATATAAATAAATAAACTTTCTCAAAAATAAATAAATAAATAAAAGGTATAACAAATAAACGTCATGACCCGTCGACCGACTGTATAAGATAATCTGTCGCTTTCGGACATCGCAAAGGGTAAGACAATCAGAGGAAAAAGTCTAGATTTTTAATTTGGTCAAAGACTGTCTTGTCTTAAATAAAAAGGTGCACTCTTATAACTTTACTTCACTTAAAAAGATTGTCTTGGTCGTATTACGATTTTGTGATATTCCTTTTCATTTGATAGTGAAATATTTTAGGTTCAAATCTTATAGATGATAAATTCGAAACCAAATTAAGCTGCTCATGTGGTTTAACCGAACTCCTTCCCATAGTGTAAAATATCAATGTACTAAAAAAAAAAAAAATTATATTGTCTTGGTCAAAAACGTCATGACCTGTCTTGCCTTAATTTAAGGAAGTTTTAACGAAACATTCCTAGTACTGTTCACTTTTAACGAAAAACCACATTTTTACTTTTTTCTGGTACTATTTACTACACTTTTATTTGTCATTTTTCATTAAAACTAAAGTATTTTTGGACCTTTCATTAGTTTTGTTTAATTTAAACTAGCTATGGACAAAATCGTCCTTGTCAGTCAAAAGAGAGTGGATAAATAATTTTACACATCAAATTTTCTTGTTCTTTTTTAAACTTCACCAGCATGCCATCCAAGCATATCTTTAATTATAAAATTGAAAAAGAAAAAAAAATCCTTTCCCCATTCCCATGTTTTCTCTCCTCATTTAAAAAAAAAAATATTTAAAAATGTCGACAAAGCTTACGGGTGTTTCGTATACGTGTAGAAAAGAATAAAAGTTGATAAATAAAAAATTGACTTCAAAGTTCAAACCCTGGACTTATCTCTCGTGAAAAGACAAAGTTTTAATTGTTTCAAATAAACTATGAACATCCTCCCAAAAAAACAAATAAATAAATAAACTATGAACACAGCTAGATTCTGTTTCTATCACCTCATTAATCTCGTGTTTTCAGTATATCATTCCAGATGCTATTTTCTGAAAACAAACAACAAAAATTCATTCTAAAGTTCTTAATCGTTGGTATACATTGCTATTGGCTTATATATTTTCTGCGTACAAAGGACCTCAGGTGAAAATTTTGCCCCGATCTGCGGCGGAGGAGGCACCAAAACTAGTTCACAACGCTATGAATTTCAATCTGCATAGATGTCGAAAGTTGTAGGACAGATCAACCACTGAACTCGTATTACGAATGGAACAATATTAGCTTCCGCATATTATGTAATGAACAAGATCGCGGGGCAACTAGAGCCCAACCCAGTATGAACGTCCATTGCTGTTGTGAATTGGTGAATTGGAGGGCGATGCCACGCACCATTCGTACCAAACCTGCATCACCATCCAATAGGAACTCATTCATAGGTTTATTTTTCATCAGAAACCGTAAGCACATAAAAAGATGCAAAAGCACACTATTCTTGTGCTCAAGTATTATTATGCCTTTGGATAATGGCCTCAATTCCTTGTAAACAAGAAAGAATATTACCTTGGTAAGACGACATCACCACCAAAAATGTACTTCAAGAGAAGCGCCAGGACTAAGCGTAATTGGTATCCCTAGTGGGAAAAAAATTGGGAACGTAAGAGAAGCGCCTGAATATATTTCATTGTGTCCTCAAATGTCTCATAGGTTTGAGCTTCTAGATTATCCATGAGAGGCTGCATTAGAATAGCAGAGTTGGCCTAACTTGTAGCTTATTACAAGAGGAAGGAAAATCACATGTAAAAATGAAAATGTAGGAAAAGGGATTAAGGTATGTACTATAATAATAATAAAATAAATGTACTAACTGCAAAAAATAAATAGTAAAAATTAAGCAACAATTGAACCAATATGGCTGACTGCAAGTAATCCCTGTAAGATTGCAAAGAACCCCTATTACACAGCAGCATATTAATTACATCAGTACTCAATATGGCTGCTCTAACAGATTCCCCAAACCAGCGTCCAAGAGAGTTTACAAAAGGTCGTGAACTTCTGAGGAAAAAAGAAAGTTGTTCAGATTAAAATAAAATGAAAATTACTCCAGGCACAATCAAAACACATAAACACAAATTACACAAGTTAAAAGAAAATGGACATTGTTACACTTACAAAACATCAAGAGCAACTGATAACTGACTATGATGTTCACATATCAGATGAAATGAATTCCAAATCTCCCAAGAATCATCCTGCAAAAAATAATGTTAAGAAAAATGAGTTTTATCACTATGATGTTCACATAGCAGATGAAATGAATTCCAAATCTCCCAAGAATCATCCTGCAAAAAATAATGTTAAGAAAAATGAGTTTTATCATCTGGTATGTCAAATTGTCAATCATCATGCCGTTATTTTACACACATAAAGAAGGCCAAGTTTATGCAGAAGGTTTAAATCCCATATAAGTTTGACTACCCAACTGAATGCACAATAAAAAAGAGGCAACTCTCCACACCTGACCTCCCTATTTGGTATACAACATCTAACAACAAAGCCTTTACACGGACTACAACAGAAGACAAAGTACTACACATCCCAACTCGTAATGCTTTAGTAGATTTAGCACAAGAGTTATCATTTTGTAGGGTCAACGAGAGCCATATGCAACAGAGGTTGAAAATCTATGTAAAGTGTAGTATATATTGGCCAAGAGTCATGACTCAAGTTGAAAAACCAGTCGCTGGAAACTACGACTTCCACCAAAAGAAGGAAAATAATTATCAAAATGGTAAACCTGTTTTGAAAACTTAAATGAGAAGGTACCTCATTCACCCATGGAAGCCGCAACCACAACTACAATAGAACATAACAAGAACAGAAAACCCAATGAGCTCCAAAAGTAGATTAAACAAACAGGTCGAAATATGTACACTGATTTGGATTCACAATGGTACCTGTGTACTGCTTATGCCCTGTAAAAGCTGATTTGCACATCGAGCATAATTAGCACAGGATTTCCCCTTTGGAGCTGGAAGAAGGCATGCCTGCACCAAGCAATAGATGACAATTAAAAGCCAGCAAGACAGTAAAACTCAATAACCATTTTCCAGAATCAATTATTAGCAAAGCACGCAGAAAATTATTCAGCTTAGCATGCGGCCTGAGATAGCAAATCAAATATTTCACAACACTGCAGTTCCAATAAATAAGGATTCGACGTAACTGTGGAGGGCCGGCTGTCGACTACCTGACGCCCTCCCCCTCCTCCTTTATCCGGGCTTGGGACCGGCAATGTAAGATAAACTTACATAGGCGGAGTTACTGCAGTTCCAATAAATAAACAAACAAATTTCAATGCTATCAACCTGCAGGGACAAATGAGAAGCCCATCCTATCTCTTGCTTCAAAGTAGTTTCTGAATCGCACCGGAGGATCTCATCTTCTGAATCCAAGTCAATCCATGAGCTAACCTTTCCTGAATAAATTCAAAAAACCACTACGAGCAGTCATAGGAGACAAGGAAATATGTGGTTGAAAAGTAAACAAGCTTATCCCATCAAATCCATTATTATCCAGCCAAGTTCTTAGTAAACATAAAACATAAGTTGAGTAAAGTCCATTAAATTACCAAGAGAAGACAATGTAACACAACAAAAGTCTACAGAAGTACATACCAACAACATGACCGCTCCATTGGGAAGGACTCAAAACCAAGTCTGACCCAGCAAATGGAAGAACACCAGAAACACCACTGTCTTTTTGCATTAAGCTTGGTCGATAAGCAGGATCCATCTACATCATGAAGTTGAAAAATAATCACTACCCTTTGTCCAAGTTGTGTATCAGTGATCAAAGAAAGCGAATGGGGAAAAAAATGATCATACACAGACAAACACTTAGCAGTACGAACGAATTGCTGAACAGAAGTCAGAAAATTAACACCACATGAATATGTAATGCATTTGACATACATGACACTCGATACCAAACAAGCAATAAGATGAAAACCTTTGTAGTTAAGCAAAGTCCCCATAGCCACTAAGGATAAGATATACGAAGGTGTCACAAATTTAACAACATAGTTAATAGCCTAAAGGTGAAACCAGAGTTTACAGTTCACCATTAAGGACCACCAACAAAGCCTTCTTTTGGTGAGCTCACTGACCATTCACACAAAATAGAAGCCCATAGTCCCTGTCCAAAAATGCATGCTCACTTCTCTCTTGAAACTTGCCATCGTCTTCTGGACCATTCTTTCGACTACTTTTCAGTCCATCTTCGATATCATCAGTATTCTTGTCAGCTGATTCGGGCGCAGCAAGCCCGAGAACAGCTCTTAATGTTTCCGTTTGTTTCTCCTTCCTAGCGGCAATTTGGTGGGTCTGCGTATCTGAAACCCTATTTAAGTAACAAAATTTACAGTTAACGCTAATCAACTTTTAATCACATTCTTGCTTTGCAAAACCTCATTCGAATCCATACGACATTACTTAGAAATACAAGAGAATGTCATTCAAAATGCAAGATTTTTCTGCAACTTCCAAACTTCCAACAACAAAAAGAGCGAGCAAACTTGCTTCTTATCGGAAACAACAACAGCGCCGGGTCCACCACGCTCCTCTTAAGCCGCGGCAGCTTCGAGAGTCTTCCGAGCCTCGTCAAGCTTCTCGGCGATCTCAGCGTCGGTAAACCCTGATCGATGAGCTTATCTTCGAGCACGACGAGCTTGAGCTCAATATGGCGCTTGCGATCATGCTCGAGGATGTCTCTGTTGGGCTTCTTGGTGACGGCGCCGGTGCCGAAGCCGCGGGAAGAGTCGGCGACCTTCCCGGTCCTCGATTTGATGGAGAACTTGTTGGTCTGGATGTAGCCATTCGTCCCCGAACCCCTCGGAATCTGTAACCCTATTCCGTTGTACATCTCGCCCCTTCGGAACCCTAGATTCGAAACTTAACGGATGTAAATCGAGCAGAAGCAGAAGCAAAAGAGGAAGAAGGTGTTTGGTGAACGAAGAATTGCGAGGGATTGATATTTGGGGAAACAAACGGAAAGTTGATTACCGCCCTCCCTCTCTCTCTCTCTCTGCTTGCCGCCACGGGGGGGGGGGGTGGGGTACAAACGGAAACTTGATTATCGCCCTCCGGCCCTCTGAAATCCTTCGAAAATCCTATGCCCAATAACCCTCGGCCGACCCTGTGAAATCCTACTCATTTTCGACACGTGTCCACCACTTAACAATGCTAACTTCCAAAATTGGAAGAAAAAAAAAACGAAAAAACCTTTTGATGAGTTAAAAAAATCATTGCTGCAATTGAGTTGAAGAACCATTGTTACAATTTACTCAGCATATAGTTGACTATTGGATTGATTTTAACAACGCAGCACAGATTAACAAAATATGAACTCTGCTATGGACCAAGATTATCTGCTCTCCCATTTTCCATCCACTTCCAACCCCTCGTACTTTTCCAGGTCACGTGACTCACATCAGCAAATTTAACGAATTGACTATTGATTGTATGATATTTAAATAAAATAATAAATAATATATAAAATTGAAATGTTTTAAAAATAATGTATAAAGTTGTAAAGCACAAGATAACTTACACTATTATTATTAAAAATTATAAAAGAGTAGGTAAATAAATAAAATTTGCCTTGAAACTCTTTGACTCATCTTTCTTGAAAAGACAATTCTTAATCATTTCAAATTAACTATAAACACTTTACCAAACAAAGAAAAAATAAATAAATAAACTATAAACACTGCTTAGATCCTCTTTATATCTCCTAATCAAGTGATTTCGGCATATCATGTCAGATGCTATCTTCTGAAAACAAACAACAAAAATTTCAATCTTAACAGTTATCAGTTGGTATGCATTGCTATTGGCTTACATGTATTCTACGTACAAAGGAACTCGAGTGAAATTTTTGCCCCCTTCTGCGGCGGGGGCACCAAAACTAGTTCACACCGCTAAACCCTGAACCCTGAATTTCAATGGGCGTAGATGTCGAGAGTAGTTGTAGGACAGATCAACCACTGAACCCGTATTACGTATGGAACAATATCAGCTTCCACCTAGATTGTAATGAACAAAATCGCCGGGCTACTAGAGCCCAACCCAGTATGAACGTCCGTTGCTGTTGTGAATTGGCGAAGTGGAGGGCGATGCCACGCACCATTCGTACCAAACCTGCATCACCATCACCATTCCATAGAAACTCATTCAGAGGCTTATTTTTCATCGAAAACTGTAAACATACAAAAGAGATGCAGAGGCACAGTATTCGTTTGCTCAAATGTTATGCCTTTGGATAATGCCCTCAATTCCTTGTAAACAAGAAAGAATATTACCTTGGTAGGACAACAACACCGCCAAAAATGTACGTCAAGAGAAGCGCCAGGACTAAGCGTAATTGGTATCCTTAGTGGGAAAAATATTGGGAACCTGGGGGTAACAATGAACAGCACGTAAGCCATACAACTACCACATAAGTTTTAGCCATCATGTGTTTACCACTTAAAGAACAAGTAACCATCAAAAGATAACAGAACTTGGGGAAAATTGAATATTTCAACAAGAACTAAGATGAAAAAGGATAAGACGGAGTACATACCAGCTAAACATGTTTGGTGTTGATGTTGATGGTTCAATGCCAAGATGAACTTCTTTGTATAGTGTTGCATCAAAATAGCCAGCAAATCCTGAAGGTTTAGAAAAGAGAGATTTTATTGACTCGAAAAATAGGCCCAATGAGTCAATCAAGTTAACAATAGGCAACATACTGACAAATTTTTTCATTCAAGAATATTAATCACCTAAAGAAAAATTATGCCGCCACATACCATGAATCATGGCTGAGCCAGTATCACTTGTTATTCCAAACTGCAACTTCGTGTGCTGGTTATTGCTTTTGTCAGTTGAGCGATTTGGATGATCAAACGTGAACACCTAACAAAAAAATCCAGTGTTCGTGACTAAATGATTGCTGAATAATGACTCCCTATACAATCAAATTCATAAAATTAATTATCAAATCAGTCCAGTGAGAAAGCTCACAGGTTGAGGAGGAGCAAGTCTTGCAATGTTGTGCAATTTAACAACATAAGCAGTTTCGAAGTGTGCAATATCTTTGTGCGACTTAACCTGAAAGATAACCACAAAACTTTACAAAGGAATCCTCAAACAGATAGAAATGAACATCTTTGGGCACAAAGACACAGGCATACATCATTGTAAAGCTTTGAAGCAGTCACTGGTTGGATAAAACTCGTGTACCTGAAAACAGGCGCATAGGCTTTTTAGAGAGGACGCTAATGGAGAAAACTCCAAAAATAGCTTTCAAAAGGAAGTATTGATGTTGAACATTTAGACACCATGAAATCTGGACAATATCACGACAAGATATCGCAATGTCGATAATGACTTTTGGACAGATCATAACTGGGAAGCACCTTTGATATAAAAAAAATACAAAATAAAGAAAAGTATACATACGATGAAGGTATCGAGATTCCATCATCCTTCAATAGTCTCTGGGCTCCATCAAGGCACTCAGGAGACAGCTCGTTATCACCAAAAGAACCCAACAATTCACTAACCTATTATGCAATCAAAGGCAATTTTAATAAGGAAACCAAAAAACAAAACATGACTATTCATAAGATTACTTGCATACCAAAATGTCAGCTTTCTCTGGAGCATCCCAGTGACGCATATCACATGAAATTATGGAAACAATGTTTTCCCACCCCTCCAGTTTAACCAAGCTCTGCTCCAACAAATATAGACAAGTCAAAATAAAAAATGTGGACCATGAAAAAACAAGGAAAGTCTACTTCAAACAAATACCCACAATAACACTTTTTTTGTGTTAATGTGCATGATGAGTTGCACATCCTAGAAACATAATTTTACAACTTAGCAGAGAAAGAAACAAGATAAAGAGAGAATTTGCAACTCACATGAAGTGTAACAACTGCATTTGGATTTTTTTCAACAGCGTAGACTTTAAGCTTGCGCCCAGTTTCTTCAGCTGCCTACATGAGGAATTGGATCCACATCAATATGACCTGCTCCATGTAACATCGAGTCTGAAGATAAACAACATAATCCAAAAACAAGTATGCAGAAGGAAGAGAAGGCACCTGCAATGATGCCCTTACAAGAGGTCCACGTCCTGCTCCTACAACCATCAATACCTTAACACAAATGCAAATATCACATACGCAATGTCAGGATATTTTGTCATCAAACTTAATAAAACACCATTCATGAGAAAATTGGGAAAGCAAAGTGACAAGTGAGCAGCTTACGGTAGTTACTGAAGATGCCTTATCATCTGGAACCCTGTCCTGTAAAGCTCTACAAATTGCTCTTTGGTACTAACAAAGATAAAAACAAACTATTACAATTGTGATCAATATAAAGTAATAAGCATTACTATGTCTTCCTTTTCAGAAGCCTTGGTCCCTACAAGAAGAAAAAGAAAAAGGAAAAATAAACACAGTCCAATGTTTTGTTGATGTATTTAAATATGATTATGATTTAACTTAATTATATTGTTGACATGCAAATTGCAGATTAGAAAATAACAATGTAAAAATATCTGAAATGACCATTTATGCAGTTATTTGCAAATGCAGGCATACCTGAATATATTTCATTGTGTCCTTCTCAAATGTCTCATAGGTTTGAGCTTCTAGATTATCCATGAGAGGCTGCATTAGAATAGCAGAGTTAGCCTAACTTGTATTTGATTACAAGAGGATGGAAAATCACATTTAAAAATGAAAATGTAGGAAAAGAGCGATTAAGGTATGTACTAAGCAAAAGATAATAATACAATCACTTGGGAAATAACAGTACCTGTAAGGGTGACTGCAAGTAATCCCTGTAACCAATCTGCCATAAGAGACTTAAAGGGTTAAAAAAAATTAGAGCAGGGTAAAAAATTTCCAAAATCCAAAAACACACCCACAGAGAAAGAAAGAGAGAGGGAAAGGCACCTCCAGCCGTTCTTGCTCCGGAAGGGGATCCATCCTCTGGTAGAGATAGCCAACATAATCCAAATACAGCCTCAACGGATGTTTCTGGACACCTGGATGTCAAGAATAATATAAGCCAATATGCTATTAAGAAACTCAACTTATATGGTTGGGGTAATCGCTTTATGAAAATGCATTGTGTTAAACTGAAAGTGTTTTCTTTGTCTAGGTATCTTTTCGCTTGCTTCTTGATTTTGTTCTGTCAGCAAAATTAATAAATAAATGTTTTCCCTTTACATTGTTTCCTTCATATTTGTATTTGATCTATATGAATCCTGAGGTTCAGAATCGAACAAAAATCATTTAGGAAATAAAAGTAGCACTTTAAAAGACAACTTGAAGCACTTGAAAAATAACTAAGTTACATATATTGGCTTAGATTTTCTGCCTCCAATAGTTCAATTACCATACAAGTTTCTATTATTCAAGACAATGCACTTGTATACAGAAGGTAGGTCTTACCATCAACATTATTATCATTATCATTGGCAGCTATATGTGAATTTATCTTGGGAAGACTATGCACTGGTTCTCCTGATAGAACTATCTGCAATTAAATTTTCCATGATGACAAAGATTAGAAAATATTGCAAGAAGGTGACCATAAGATCTAAAACAAATTAATGATGTCTATGAAGAATTTTTGCAACTACAAAATCATACTTAGATTGGAACTTGCTTGAGATTGTAAGTAACTTCTGAACAATAACCATAGAAACAATTTGGAAAGAAGGTAAACCATAAAAATAAATGTTTAACTATGGGTTGCTTATGCTGCAATGCACAGAAATGGAAAACAAACTCCAACGGAGCATAGAAATACCGTTGATAACTTCTTCGTAAATACCTGCATAGAATGATTGAAAAGCCCATGAACAAGATTCTGGTGGCGCTTTGACAGACATGGATAGCCTCGGGCATTTGTTAGAAAGCACTAGCAATGAACAAGACCACTATTAGAAAATTAAACAACAATTGAACCAACAAGTAATCACCTTAAGGTTTCCTTAATAGACCAATTAGCATATAATTACATCAGTACTGAATATGGCTGCTCTAACAGATTCCCCAAACCAGCGTCCAAGAGAGTTTACAGAAGGTAGTGAACTTCTGAGGAAAAAAGAAAGTTGTTCAGATTAAAATAAAATGAAAATTACTTCAGGCACAATCAAAACACATAACACAAATTACACAAGTTAAAAGAAAATGGACATTGTTACACTTACAAAACATCAAGAGCAACTGATAACTGACTATGATGTTCACATAGCAGACGAAATGAATTCCAAATCTCCCAAGAATCATCCTGCAAAAAATGAGCTTTATCATCTGGTATGTCAAATTGTCAATCATCATGCCATTATTTTACACACATAAAGAAGGCCAAGTTTATGCAGAAGGTTTAAGCCCCATATAAGTTTGACTACCCAACTGAATACAACAACAACAAAGCCTTTCCCACTAAGTGGGGTCGGCTATATGAATCCTAGAACGCCATTGCGCTCGGTCCTGTGTCACATATTCCGTTAGATCCAAATACTCTTAAGTCTTTTCTTAGAGTTTCTTCCAAAGTCTTCCTACGTCTTCCTCTACCCCTTCGGCCCTGAACCTTTGTCCTGTAATCGCATCTTCTAACCAGAGCGTCAATAGGCCTTCGTTTCACGTGTCCAAACCACCGTAACCGATTTTCTCTCATCTTTCCTTCAATTTCGGCTACTCCTACTTTACCTCGGATATCCTCATTCCTAATCTTATCCTTTCTCAGTGCCCACACATCTAATGAAGCATTCTCATCTCCGCTACTACCCAACTGAATGCACAATAAAAAAGAGGCCACTCTCCACACCCGACCTCCCTCTTTGGTATACGACATCTAACAACAAAGCCTTTACACGGACTACAAAAGAAGACCAAGTACTACACATCCCAACTCATCATGCTTAGCAGATTTAGCACAAGAGTTATCATTTTGTTGGGTCAACGAGATCCACATGCAACAGAGGTTGAAAATTTATGTAAAGTTCAGTATATATTGGCCAAGAGTCATGATATAAGTTGAAAAACCAGTCGCTGGAACCTACAAGTTCCACCAAAAGAAGGAAACTAATTATCAAAATGGTAAACCTATTTTGAAAACTTAATCAGAAGGGACATCACTCACCAAGGAATCAGTGTTCACATCCATGGTTTCACTGTCTGACCTAACCAATGGAAGCCGCAACCACAACTACAATAGAACATAACAAGAATGGAAAACCCAATGAGCTCCAAAAGTAGATTACACAAACAGGTCGAAATATGTAAACTGATTTGGATTAACAATGGTACCTGCGTACTGCTTAGGCCCTGTAAAAGCTGATTTACACATCGAGCATAATTAGCACAGGATTTCCCCTTTGGAGCTGGAAGAAGGCATGCCTGCACCAAGCAATAGATGACAATTAAAAGCCAGCAAGACAGTAAAACTCAATAACCATTTTCCAGAATCAATTATTAGCGAAGCACACAGAAAATTATTCAGCTTAGCATGTGGCCTGAGATAGCAATTCAAATATTTCACAACACTGCAGTTCCAATAAATAAATAAACAAATTTCAATGCTATCAACCTGCAGGGACAAATGAGAAGCCCATGCTATCTCTTGCTTCAAAGTAGTTTCTGAATCGCACCGGAGGATCTCATCTTCTGAATCTAAGTCAATCCATGAGCTAACCTTTCCTGAATAAATTCAAAAAACCACTATGAGCAGTCATAGGAGACAAGGAAAAATGTGGTTGAAAACTAAACAAGCTTATCCCATCAAATCCATTATTATCCAGCCAAGTTCTTAGTAAACATAAAACATAAGTTGAGTAAAGTCCATTAAATTACCAAGAGAAGACAATGTAACACAACAAAAGTCTAGAGAAGTACATACCGACGACATGACTGCTCCATTGGGAAGGACTCAAAACCAAGTCTGACCCGGAAAATGGAAGAACACCAGAAACACCACTGTCTTTTTGCATTAAGCTTGGTCGGTAAGCAGGATCCATCTACATCATGAAGTTGAAAAAGAATCACTACCCTTTGTGCAAGTTGTGCATCAGTGATCAAAGAAAGCAAAGGGGGGAAAATGATCATACACAGACAAACACTTAGCAGTACAAACAATTTGCTGAACAGAAGTCAGAAAATTAACACCACATGAATATGTAATGCATTTGACATACATGACAGTCGATACCAAACAAGCTATAAGATAAAAACCTTTGTAGCTCAAAGGAAAGTCCTCATAGCCACCAAGGATAAGAAATACAAAGGTGTCACAAATTTAACAAAGTATTAATAACCTAAAGGTGAAACCAGAGGTTACAGTTCACCATTAAGGACTACCAACAGAGCCTTACTTTCGGTGAGCTTACTGAACATTCACACAAAACAGAAGCCATCTCTGGCTATATGTGACTGGCTAATTAGCCACCAATTGCAAAGAAATTTCCCAAACGCCGACAAAACAAGTCTGCCAGACAACATAGAAACATTAACTAAGAAATTCATACCCACAAATGATTGACAAGGAAATAATCAATATTTACGATCATTTCAAATGGAAACTGATATTGATGTAGTTAGTGGCTGTGGAGTGAAGCTCTATTGTCGAGCAGCTGCATAAGCAACATCCACCAACATGGCATTGCTGTCGGTGAGCTTACTGACCATTCACATCATAAAAAACAGCTGAAAAGCCAATTATGTGACTGGCTAATTGGCCACCATACAAGAATTAAAAAAACAAGTTTCAATTGACTATTTCTATCACTCCTCGACAAAAACAACTATACAAGTCATATCAACAAACAATTGGAGTGAATCATCAACATTTCTAATATTGTTAAGTCGAATTTGATACTAATGTAGTTAGTGGCCGTAGAGTGAAGCTGCATAGTCGAGCAGCTGCACGAGCAACAGCCACCAACGCGGCATTGCTATTGGTGAGCTTACTGACCATTCACATCAAAAGAGAAGCTGCGAAGCCGATTATGTGACTGGCTAATTGGCCACCATTTCCATACGAGCATCACAAAACACAAATTCCAATCAACTTTTCCATTCATTCCTCAACATAAACAGAAGAATCAAATGAAATACGAAATTTGAAAAATAATTAGGAAAAAGAAAGGAGAAATGTACGGACCAAAGGAGCGAGGACGAAGTCGAAGGAGCCATGGGAGAGATTGAAAGCGAGGACGTGGGGCATGTCATCGTTGAACTCGGTCTCCACGCCGCAGAACCGAGACTCGCTCTTGTCGCCGGCTCTTTGCCCGAGTGGCATTTTGCTCCACGCAGAGCAGGAGGAGGAGAGTGTGGAAGTAGAGTAGGGTTTTGGTGGGGTTTTTGATTGATTTGATGTCAACGGAAATGAGCTGCGTCTAAATAGGGTTTGCGGAGCTTTAGGACTAGGGTTTTTGGGTAGACGGGTTTGACCGGATTAGTTTAACGGATAAGATTGAATTTTAATTTGTGGCATGAAAAGCCCAGTGGTAATCTGGGTTGTTACGGCCCAGCCCTAAGAACCGAAGCATAATTCTGTATTCGATTTCTCATTGCAGGCATCATAATCAAAACCGTTGGGCTTTTTTCAGCTGGTCTAGGGCCCTCTCTTGCAGCTCTTATGTGAATACTCTTCAAGATCCTTTGTTTTCGATTATCTAATAAATCACTTAATGGAAATAGATTATCTTTCCATTACATGAATTATTAAACAATCGAAATCGTTTGGATTACTAACGAACAAAATTTTAGATGATTCATCTTGAAAATCTTAATAGTTAACAAAATATTCGGTTTGTTTGATACATATGAATTAGTACTAAACGATCACTAATTTGATCGATTTTTTGCACAAATAAGCTTTAACTTGTGATATAAGAAATAACATAACCTTTCATTTTTTTTTAAATAGAGATTAGTTGTGAAACTCACCCTACATCAAACTTCAATGATCCGAATTGTCTATTTTGTAAGTCTCGATTCATAAATTATCCTTGCAAAAATTCAATTTAATCCTAAACTATTTCTTATTTAATTATCACAATGAAATTTCATTATTTCTTATAGAACAAAGTGTTCGTCAATTTCTTTAAACTCAGTTAGATGTCTCAAATATTTTCAAATTGACTAATATTTTAAGGATGATTTAAGAAGTGCAACTTGAAAAATAGATAGTTCGAATTATTAAAGTTCGATGTGGTGTAAACCCCACAACTAATTCCCTTTTAATAAAAAAATGATATCCCTTTCTTTAAAGGTTTGCTAAGAATTAAATAGCAACTACTAACTAGTGGAAAGAAAATTTGAGGAAGAGTTGGAGAGGTCAATTTAAAAAGGGAATTTTAACGAAAAGCACCCTGTACTATTCACTTTAACAAAAAATCACATTTTTACAGTAAAAAGTCAATCCTGGTACTATTCACTTTACCCTTTATTTTGTCATTATCATTAAAACTCAAAGTCAAGCCCTTTTCATTAGTTTTCCTATTTAAAAAGTTAATCCTGCTTCATTTTACCAAATCCATAACCACAAATAGATAGTACCGAACAATCTCCAACCGTATCTACATGCATTTTCACTACATAAAGTTGCTCGACAAGCAAGCTTACGAACATAGATATGAAATAGAAGAGTAGTACGTATGAAACAGACATCCTGGCGGCTTCTCGCGACGCTAGCACACTTCAAGCACTTCCTAGCTTATATATATATATATATCGAGATTCATACATGAAACAATGCATAGCATACATATCGTTAGCATTCTTTTAAGCCGTCAGAAAGACTAAGCATATTTTCTTCATCATGACAATCGATGAGACTCAACCTGTTCAAAAATCCTTAATCATAGATGCTCATAAGTTCAAAATTTGGCTTAACCAATGTGAATGGCAAAGCAAATGCATGCACCAGCACACTATGCATCCATGTATATATTGAAATAGATTCGTGTTTGTGCTTCTTTATACTTGGAAGCCCCTTGATATTATATAATATCCTTCAAAATATAATTGATGCACGACACTCAATTTTACAAGCAAAATGACACAATATAACAAATATTCGAAATTGAGAACAAAGGTTTAGCAGAAAAGGATTCAAAATAAAACCTTATGAAAGCCCTAATTCATCATGCTTTAACTCATCACACTATAATCATGCATATAAGAGAACAAATTAATCATGCATAAAACAATGAATTGAGTTACCTAAATGCATCACCGGACCCATATTCGTTGACCAGACCGAGATTTCTCGACCACAAATCAACAAAACAAATTATCCATCAATCCTCGAGACCCATCCATGTGGATTGTCATCACCGCAGATTCCAGTGGACCCGTATCATCGCAGATTATCGAAATACATCGCCATTGTTACAGACCCGCCGAACCAAAATCATCGCCAAAGTGATGGCCCAAATCCCGTCGACACAAATTCCCAGAAAAAAGATAAACTGTAAACGTTAATATCTCTTGGACAAACAAAAAACTTATTAATGTCTTCAAACCAAGATTTCATCTTTCTTTTATCTTACTTATATTTGGTATGTACAAGGCATATTTTATGAACATCTTTATAATCAAATTCATTAATCCAAACCGATTAGACCCACGAAAACAATAGCTTATGTACTCGCATTCCATAATTACCCAATGAATCCTTGATTACTTCTTATAAAAATTCATCATCATGGAATCAAACACACATAAGAAAAATTAGTAGCTGCTGAAGCTTAATAGTTCAATTTTACCAAATTGAATTCAACATTTAGCCATCATTCGTTTGGCAGGCAATCACAAATATTACAAACCCATATTGCGGCAAACATGATATGCATATAACTCAAAACCTACATATTATCTCACAAAATAAGCTTGACCACTGCTAATTTACCATCACGTCTTTTGTTGTTTTTTTTTTTTTTTTTTTTTTTTTTTTTTAACTTTCAATTTGAATTCAAGAGCAACAATCTTAGGCTCTGATACCACATGTAAGATTAAACTTATCAAAAATATAAGTTAAGAGATTAAGCTCATGAACCACAAATTTATTCAAGTATTAAAATCATAATTCGATAAACACAATGACAAACTAACTCATAAACGCAGTAGAAGAAGAAGCCAAAGCAGACTTCTAAACAGTGCACCTTCTCCTCTCTTGCAAAACCAAAAGTACTCAAACTAACAATATGTCTTAGTTCAATATTGAGCGTGTATTTTGTGAGAGCAGTGACCACTGTTTATAATATATTAATCCTAATAATTCTCCTATTAGAAACACCATAGATACCAACTATGAATCCAAATCATATCTGAATTACAATCCTACAAGAATTAGGATAGTTTTAAGCTTTCTAGCCAGACTTTTCTATATCAATTGAAACACTACAACCGGCTATAATATTCAGTTTCATACTCATATTCTAACAGTTGGCAGTCTCCAATTGTTTACAATTTGAATGCAAAGTCCATTCGTTGGATTTGTGTCTATTAATGTAAATTTCATTTTGATTTCAACCATTCAAATTAATTATCTTTCTCATCAATGGATATGACTATCCGATATATCACGACGTCATTAATTTAGGGATTACCATACCACAAAGTGAGTTTCCCCCAACTCATAATAAGTCATAGTAAAATCAATTTGACTTTGTGTTGACAACAAAACTGACGTTGCCTTAAGTTGAACTCATTTTAGATGAGTGAAGATAAAATGAGAAACTATATCTTCACACATTTCTACTTCTTAAAGCATGAAAAGTGATTTTATTGATAGCGTTAAAAGCAACCACAATGTTAGCGAATTGTGGGGATGACTTACCTATGGCTTACCTATCTTTGAGAATAATATATACTTAAAGAAGAAATAAAAAATAATTTGTATCTTTTGAAGTGAGTGAGTTTAAGGTATTGAAGGGTTTCTAACATTTTGAAAAATACTTCAAATGTGGGGGTATTTACCCAAGCATAGGCAAATTACTTAGTAATTAAGTCCTAATATATGTTTGGATGACTTAACAAAAGAAATCAACTACTCTCAAATCAAACTCATTTACATGCATGGATGAGTTTTGAGATGGCCATATAGTATGAGTACATGATGAGATCCATAGTCATTGTAGTACGCACATGATGAGATCACAAAGTCATCTTAGGAATTTCGAATTAATTTCACAAATGGGTAGACCGAAAAATTAAGATCTTTATTACAAAGCATAAACAAGCCAAGAAAAGCAGAAAAAAAAATGGTAACCCTAGCTACTGCAGATGGTTACACTTGGAACCCTCATCACAAAGCCTGGTGCATTTATCACTAAGATTGGACTGGAGCTTACAAATGCCTTGTCCTGCAAAGAATCTTCCTACAAGCCACAACCATGATGGCGGAAACGCCCAAAAAAAAAGCCAAACAAACAAACAATAAAAACATATGTTTGAGCTTTCTCCAACCATCAACATGAGTTCCAGCGGGTGACGAATCATCAACATGAGTTCCAGCGGGTGACGAATCATCAACATGAGTTCCAGCGGGTGACGAATCATCAACATGAGTTCCAGCGGGTGAAGAATCATCAACATGAATTCCAGCGAGTGCCGAAGCGTGAGAAGGTTGCCCGGGTGCCGAAGCGGGAGAAGGTTGCCCCTGGGTGGCGGAGGGGGAGAAGGTTGAACTTGTGGTCGGTTTCTGTAACTGTAAGCGGA